TAGGATTGAAGGAAAGTGCATGCAAAACACCATACATAGTGCCTGGCAGATTATACCTGGCACGGAATATGTTAGCTTTTATCACTATTGCAAACAGGTGGACAGATGGGTCAGAATACACATTGCCCCCACGTCACCCTGCCCCACACACAGCATGAAGGAAAAGGCAGAACAACCCAGCCTTCTGTATACCCCCATCTGGCCTATTTCCTTAGTCTCCCTTCCCCTCCAACTGCCCAGGGATCCCCCTCTTGGAACGCTCCCTCTTTACACCCCAGGAAACCCACCACCACCCTCCACGGTCCACGCGCTCCAGAAGTCACAAAGCACACAGCCCCTAAGCTGGCCGGACAGAAATCTGTTCAAAACAAACCTCTCCCCCTGCCCCCAACCCAGACCCCAGCATGAGGCAACTCCGCAGCTCGCCCGCCACCCTCTTCTCCCGGCTCTGGCAGGACAGGTTGCTCTCCCCACCGCCCCCCTCCACACCGCACCGGGTCCGAAGCTGGAGCGGCCAAACTCAATCGGCCGGAGGGGGGCGGGGAGGGGGCGGGGGAGGGGCAAGGCAGAGGGGACCCCCGAGGAATCCAGCCCAGTCCGGTCCGGAGGCGGAGGCTGCCAACTGGAAAAGCTTTGAGAACGCTTGAGGGGCTCAAGAAAGGGGAAAACACGCGCGCGCTCACTACGCAATCCACCCGTTGGGGGAAAACTTTCTGAACAATTCCAGAGAACTTTTCTGACAAGTTCCCGCAGCTCTCCCGGGGTCTAGAAAGCGCCAGTCTCCTGAATGGGCCATCTCGAGCCGATTCAGTGTAACTGCCCCCCTGCGCCACCTTCTTTGGCCCCCTCCTGCCTGAGGGCCCGGCTGCCTGGAGCGCCTCGACTGTCCGAAACTTCGAGGTGGGAGAGCTCATCCCGGCCCCTCTGTCCCAGCCGGCCCGGGGGACCCAGGCGCCAGGGTCGCGCCGCTGCTCCATCCCCTCCCCACACCAGACCCACCTTGGGTGCCCGCGGCTGCGGGGGGCAAGAGGGCGAGGACGAGCCCCCAGCGGCACCAGGCCGCCAGCTCCATGGTGCTCACTGCGGCTCCGGCCCCATGGCTCCGGCTGGACCCGGCTGCGAGGGCGCGAGGCGCTGGGCGCCGCCAGGGGAGGAGGCCGGGCGCGGGGGGCCGGGAAGGGCCCCCAGGGAAGGGGCGGGCGGCTGCCGGGGGGCTTTCCTGGTCTCTGCGGTCCCGAGGGAGGGGAATCTCAGCTCCACAACTTCATTCTTATACTTCCTCACGCAGCCCTCCTCCTCCACCTCCTCCTCCTCCTGTGATTGGGAGCAAGCGCGCTCGCAGCTCGCCCCCTCCAACTGCATTCCAACAAGTCTGGGAGTGGCAACTCCCAGCTTCACTTTCTCCCTCTCCGCGCAGGCCTGGGTGCGTCCCTCCCAGCGCCCGGACGCCTGGGTTGCCCGCAGCGGTTCTCACACATTTTCCTCAAAACAGAGGAGGGCGATTCCGCCCCCTCCCCCGGGAGAGTGGAGCCAATTCTCCAGGCTGCCCTTCTTAACTCCCTTTTAAGTCTCAGGTTTTATCTTAAACATTCCTGGAGAGTTTGCATCCTACTCCATCACATGCCTATTTGTTTTAAGATCAAATAATGGTTTTCCCACCACATCCTCAAGTAAAATCCACAGTCAAGGAAGGGGGTGTGTTGTGTTTACTTCGTGGCTTCCAGGACTGCCTGGCATATCTTCTCAAATCTTTTGGGTATCTTCTCCAGTCTGAAAGGCATGATCTTCACAAGGTGTACACATTGGGGAGGAGACGGTCGCATGGCAGGGACCTCCATCTCAATCCTTCAAGTACATCCTTCTTGTTTCTTTGTGGGGACACTCAGTACCCAGTTCATTCAAGGTTTCTTCTCTGTCCCTTGCCATTTATTAGCCTGCTTAAGTCTGCCTCCGCACCCTATGTTCCACCTGGAGCCCCTGATCCCATCTATTCCCAAGGCCTGGTGGTAGGAGCAGGGATGAAAAGCAGGCATGTTTTTGTTGGAAATTCCAGCAAAATATTGCATGGGACATATTTATACTAACAAATTATTCATGGTTTACCTGAAATTCAAATTTAACTGGCCATTCTTACTTTTATTTGTTAAATCTGTCAAATCTTATTGGAATGCCCCAGCCAAGAATACACTCATATTGGTCAAGAGGGGATCAGAGGAACCTATCAGGGACTAGAGGATGAATGAGTGACACCAGCATTTCTTTTTTTTTTTTTTTTTTTTTTTTTGAGACAGAGTCTCACAGTGTTGCCCGGGGTAGAGTGCTGTGGCATCAGCCTAGCTCACAGCAACCTCAAACTCCTGGGCTCAAGCGATCCTCCTGCCTCAGCCTCCCGAGTAGCTGGGACTACAGGCATGCGCCACCATGCCCGGCTAATTTTTTCTATATATTTTTAGTTGTCCAATTAATTTCTTTCTAATTTTAGTAGAGACGGGGTCTCGCTCTTGCTCAGGCTGGTTTCGCACTCCTGAGCTCAAACAATCCGCCCGCCTCGGCCTCCCAGAGAGCTAGGATTACAGGCGTGAGCCACCTCGCCTGGCCACACCAACATTTCTTAACTTGCTTCTACTGCTGAGCACAGTTGTAGGCAGGCACTGCCACAGTGGGGCAGGGTGAGAACAGGGGACTCTGGGATCAAGATGACCTGGGTTCAAATCTTGAATATATCACATATTAGCTGTGTGACCTTGGACAAATGACTGAGCTTCTCTGATCTCAGTTTGATTCTCAGTAAAACTGCATCTGGCATACTGCCCTAGGGATTAAAGGAGATAATGCTCCCGCAGCACTCAGCACAGTACTTGGCACATAATTGCTCAATAACTGGTCCCAGATTTAGATATACTGGGGCAGATCCAGGTTTTGTGGGGCCTGAAGCTTACAAAATTTGGGGGACTCTCTTTAAGAAAAGGAATACAGCCAGGCCCAGTGGCTCATGCGTGTAACCCCTGCACTTTGGGAGGCTAAGGTGGGAGGATCGCTTGAGGCCAGGTGTTCGAGGTTACAGTGAGCTGTGATGACGCCACTGCACTCCAGCCTGGGTGAAAGAGCAAGACCTTGTCTCAAAAGAAAAAACAAAAGAGGAAGAAAAGAAAAGAAAGAAAGAAAAGAATACAATGTTATGAATATAAAAAATACAAAATTAGGCACATGCGTGCAAATGAGGGGCCTGAAGCTTACCCTTCTTTAACTCCATAGTAAGTGCCCTTCGGGTTGTAACCAGTGATGTTCAAACTTCAGTTAGGGTTCATTAGAAAGTCGGTTGTGAAACCAATTTGGACAATCAAGACAAGTCTTTTTTGTTGTTAAAGAAATAGAATGGAACAGAAGGATTCTAGCACATCACATGTAGTAAGGACAAGGTGTGGTTTTGTAGGTACGTCCTGGGTGGTGATGTAAAATGCATTTATTCCTTGGATCATTGTCACAAATGTTGGAGAAATATTGCCATGTATGGGGACAGCAGCCCTTCAGGATGGCCATCAATATTTCTATTTTCTCTTGGGTTAGGGTTAGGGTGTGGATCAGGGAAACTGAGTCTCAAAAGAGTTAAGCAATTTGCCCAGGACCTCTTAGGGCTGACAGGAAAAGTGGAGCATCTCACCCCATCATCCAGCCCCGGACCTAGTCAATGTGCCTCTCAGTCCTGCAGCCAAACAGCCCTTCTGGAAGGGGATACGCTGACCTGGCTCCAAGAGTCACTTGCTGGTCATACACTGGACAGCTTGCACCTGGGCGACTGCGCATGCAGCCTTGGAGAGCCCATCAGGCTGTTAGGGTCAGGTAAAAGGGGTCCCTTCTCCCCGCCCCTCGCCCGCCCTCGTGTCCCAGAGGGTTAGTTCAGCCGGGGAAGCTGCTGTGGACGCTATACTTTCTTGGACCCCCTACTCTGTGCCACCCTGACCGAGAGCCACATTCCTCATCGGAGGAGGCGAGTGTTATCGTCCCCCATTTTGCAGAAGAGGAACCCTGAGATTTCTCGAGGTAAAGTAACTTTTCCAAGGTCACAGAGCAGAGCTGGGAACTGAGCCTCGGAGGCTTTGGCTTCCCCCATTAACCTCAAGAGCCCCGAACCATGGGTGCCACGAGCCCACCCTCTCCCCAGGCCCCTGTAGGGGAGCCAGAGGCGGCTCTTCCAAGAAGTCCGCGTAACTACGTTCCCTCCCTCCGCAAAGATCCCGCCTCTCCCCTTCGCCCTCCGCCTCGGCCCGGGCAAGCCCACCCTCTCGGCACCCCAGATCCCAGGGAGAGACCGGGCCCGGACAATGCCCAGCCCCAGTGGGCTGCGGGGAGGCGGGGCGGTGGCGGGGGCCGAGCAGGCTGGGGGAGGAGCCGGGGTCAGGACTCACGCCCCGGGGAGGTGGCTCCAAGGGGCCGAGCCTCCCAAAGAGAATGAGCCCATTCAGAGCCGGGAAGGAAGAGGAAAAAACCTTGTCTGGGGTTTGACAAGAGGAGAGGAAGGGGGGCAGGGGTGGGCGCTGCTGATTCGATTTTCTCTTCTGAGGTCCCTCCAGCAGGGCCTGGCAGGAGAGCCAAGGAAAGGGGAAGTGTGAGGGACAAAGACGGAGAGGGGGAGTCTCGGGGGGGATGGGGGACGAGACTGATGGAGAGCCTGAGAGCTGGAGAGGGGCCTAGTGAGGGGCCTGGGGAGAGGGGAGCTGACTGCAGGACACAGGGCCGCAAACCCAGATCAGGGCAGAAGCGTGCGATCTGCTGGAGAACCCCGGGCCGTGGGCTGCGGGGTGACCACCGACGCCGAAGAGGCAGGACAGGCTCTGGCGCACTGGGGTGACCTCTAAGGGTCAGCAGGTGGGGGTCTGGAACTAACGACCTGTGAAATGCCAGTCAATCATTGACCAGCCCTGAGACTGGGGGTACACAGGAGACTGTGTGTGAGTGTGTGTGAGTGTGCGTGTGAGTGTGTGAGTGTGTGTGTGTGTGTGTGTGTGTGTGTGTGTGTTGGCACCAGAGTCTCCTCCCTCTACCTGCTTTAGCAGCCAGCCTGGGGTCAGAGGACTGAAAACAAACAAAAAGGGAGGAGCTGGTCCGGTCCACAGTTCGAGGTCCAGGCCACAAACTGGGGCCTACCTGGGGCCAAAGGAGAATCATTTAGAAGCTTCTGGTAAGAAAATTGGTACTTCCTAAAGGTGGCCTTTTATGAACACTTGTAGCCTAACCACGAGGAAGCCACTCCCTGGGCCCACAGTGAGTCCCAGGATTGTCCAGACCCTCAGCCACACTGACCCCAGGCTGCTGAACCTCCCTCAGCCCCTCTCACCACATCTCAGGAACGCAGGCCCAAGGCCCCGGGAGTTTGCCTTTGTCTCTCCCCAGGCTGCTTTGCTGAAACAAAAAGCATTCTTCTGTCCTTGGACTCACCCCACTATTATGCATGTACACGACGGGACCTGTGGCTTCCATCATGGCCTGTGCACATGCGGCTGTCTGGGTGTAAGTCTCTATGTTGTCATTGTGCTTGTGCTGGTCATTTAGCCTGTGCCTTTAGTTTATCTGTGGCTCTTTCCTCATTGGGTAGCTTTGCTTGTGGCCTTGAATATAGCTTCACTTTACCATCTGAAATAGAGAGTTGAACAGAATGGTTCCTAGTCACGTGTTTTAGGATTTGGTGTAGGGGAAGTGACCCCTTTAACCACCATGCTTGTCCCTCGAGAGCCCCACTGAGCCATCCCTCTCCTGGATTCTGTATCCTTGTGTCATGAGCATTGAGTGTTCCTGCCTGCTCCTCTCGACCGCTCCTCTGGCCCATCAGGACCCCAGGCTAACCCCTCTTGCTGTGGGAGGTAGAGACCATTGGGTGTGAATGAGGACACTCTTGCCTCTGGCTTTTGGTTTGGGGAAGAGGAGACTAGGACGCTTACAGAAGCAAACAACTATGGCAGTCGCAAAGTCTTGATTTTGGGGGACAATTCCAGTTTCAGATGATTTCATTCACTGAACTCACATTGTTGATTTTTCTCTTCCCTTGCCCTTTCCATCCAATCATTCTTTCAGATCTATCAACTCCTATTTTAATACCTTAGTGCTTTTTCTACCTCTACCACCAGCTAGTATGAGCCTCTATCATTTCTCCTCTGGGCTACAGCACCAGCCTTTGATCCCCCTGAGCGCTGCTCTTGCCCCCCTACAATCCTTTTGCTTTTCCCACAGCAGCCAAAGCAAATGTTTTAAACATAAATCAAATCATGCCATTTGCTCGAAGGCTAAAACACCCCTCAGCCGCTTCCCATTGCCTAAACTCTCCGCCATGACCTGAGACCTGATAGGACCTGGTCTCTGGCTGCTGCTTCAATCGCATTGCATTCCAGCCGGCAGCTTCTTTTCTGTTTTTCAAAGATGCCAAGCTTGTTCCTGCCTTAGGGCCTTTGCACCGGCTGTTCCCTCAGCCTAGAACAATCTGCCCCCAGGTGTTCACAGAGCTGGTTCCTTCTGGTCATGCAGGTTTCAGCGCAAAAATGCCTTTGCTAGCCACCCAATCCAAAGTAGGCTTCCCCTCCCGCCCCATGCCTCTGCCTTCCCTGATGCCACTATTATATTATCCAATTATATAGTTGACCCTTGAACAATGCAGGGGTTAGGGACACCAACACTCCCATCCTGTTCAGTCAAAAAATCCACATATAACTTTTTTTTTTTGAGACAGAGTCTCTCTCTGTCACCCCGGGTAGAGTGCAGTGGCGCCATCATAACTCACTGCAACCTCAAACTCCTGGGCTCAAGCGATCCTCCTGCCTCAGCCACCCCGAGTAGCAAGTAGCGAGTAGCTGGGGCTTTAGGCATGCACCACCACGCCCCGCTAATTTTTTTTATTTTTAGTTGTCTGGCTAATTTCTTTCTATTTTTGGTAGACACGGGTCTCATTCTTGCTCAGGTTGGTCTCGAACTCCTGACCTCAAGCGATCCTCCCTCCTTGGCCTCCCAGAATGCTAGGATTACAGGTTTGAGTCACCATGTCCAGCCCACATGTAACTTTTGACTCCCCCAAAACTTAACTCCTAATAGCCTACTGTTGACCAGAATCTTTACTAATAATGAACAGTTGATCAATACATATTTTGTGTTATGTGTATTATATACTATATTCTTATAATAAAATAAGCTAGAGAAAAGAAAATGTTATTAAAATTATAAGGAAGAAAAATGTTTACTCTTCATTAAGTGGAGTGGATCATCATAAAGTCTCTATCCTTATCATCTTCACTTCGACTAGGCTGAGGAGGAGGAGGAAGAGGAGAGGGAAGAGGAAGGATCATCGGGGTCTTGCAGTCTCAGGGGTGGCAGAGGTGGAAGAAAATCTGAGTATAAGTAAACTCTCCAAGTTCGAACGGTGTTATTCAACTGTTAACTGTATTCAACTCAACAATTGTCTGTTACTACACAAAATTGTTTTTACATTTTTTCTTTGTTTTCAATTGATTGTATATACAGATAGTACAAAATTTTAAAGGTACAAGAACAAAAAGTAAGTACTCACTTCCCTGTTTTCCAAACACACAGTTCTACTTCTCCCCAGAGGCAATAACTATTTCCACTTTCTTATATGTCTTTCTAGATATATTATCTAAAATAACAAATGTAATACTATATATTCTTATTTTTCTTCACAAGGTAATGTATTAATATTTATGTTGTGTGCACATACTGTTGCATTTTATACTTATCAAAAATATCATGGGCTGGGCGCGGTGGCTCATGCCTATAATCCTAGCACTCTGGGAGGTCAAGGGGGGAGGATCGGGAGGATCGTTCAAGGTCAGGAGTTCCAGACCAGCCTGAGCAAGAGCGAGACCCCTGTCTCTACTAAAAATAGAAAGAAATTATCTGGACAACTAAAAATATACATAGAAAAAATTAGCAGGGCATGGTGGCGCATGCCTGTAGTCCCAGCTACTCGGGAGGCTGAGGCAGAAGGATTGCTTGAGTTCAGGAGTTTGAGGTTGCTGTGAGCTAGGCTGACACCACAGCACTCTAGCCCAGGCAACAGAGCCAGATTCTGTCTCAAAAAAAAAAAAAAATCATGAGAATTTTTCCATATCTGTGCATTACAATTCTGCCCCGTTCCTATTAATTTCTGTTCAGCATTCTGTTGTATGGATCTCCCTCAATTACTGTAATTCATTCTCTATTGATGAACATTTGGTTGTTTCCCTCTTTTTGTTGTTGTCGTTGAAAATCATGACTAATGCTGCCATGAATAGCTTTGTACTTACACCATTTTGAGCTTTGTAGGTATATCAGAGCTTGTGTAAGTATACCAGGAGTGAAATTGCTGGGTTAGAGCATATGTATATTTCACAGTCTGATAGTGCCAAATTATCCTACATAGTAGTTGTACAATGTCCTCTTACATTAGCAGTGAAATTATCTTAATCTTTTGTTTGATATTTATGGTCTGTCTCCCTCCTGTGACCATGAGAAGGACAGTGCCTTGTTCATAACTCTGTTCCCAGAGCCTTGCACATGGTCAACTTCAATAAATATTTGATGAATAAGAAACCTTCATTGTAGACTATCCCCCAATTTTTCTCTAAGAATATGGTCAGCTTGTCTTTGAGCCCTTAGCACACTATACTATTTGCTTTATCTTTCCTTTTTCTTTTTTCACTAGTGCAATGGCTGACACAGTAGGGCTTAATAAGTCTGAGTTGAAGGAATGAATCTATGACTTTGACGGCTGTGGCTCACATTGGAAGCCAAGTTAGGAAGCAGATTGAGCTAAGAGAGGTCAATAGGGAAGTGGGGGATCCAGGCTAGAAAGTTGGAAAAGAGAAAGGCTAGGTAACTGCTGTCTACAGATTGTTGTCTGGGGCTTTGCTGACAGGGAAAATTCTCAAGAGCTGTGCCAGAGAGAAAATACCTCATCTTCCCTTGAGAGAGAGAGAGAGAGAACAACAGGACGGAAGTACCCATTGCCCCCCTCCAGCTTGTTTTCTCCATCAGGTATGTAGGCGTGTATTTTCAAGGACCTTTGAAATGCTTGGGACCCAAACAGATTTTCATTGTTTCCTCCAAAATATGGTAAGAAAACTATAAAAATTAATATTTTACTAAATATATATAAATGTAGCAACGTCAACTATTAACAGCAACTCAATTCAACTATGTATAATTATTTATAAATTTTATTTAATGTGGGGCATTGCCACATTTTAATATGTTTGACGTAATATAGGATGAGGTCTTCAAACTTGAAAACTTAAAAGTTTTAGAAGAGTCCTACCTAGAAGTCTTCTCAAAGGGAGAATCCCTACCTTGTCAGGATTTCATCCTCTTTAATCCTAAATGTCTTCATCTTTAAATGGGGATTCTTGTAGAAAGATAGATTCATCCCAGCATTATAGTAAGGACTAAATGAAAATATTAAAAAATGTATTGTAAAAGGACTGATCTATCAGATGCAAAGTAGTATTAGCACTTGATCGTTTCTAGTTGGCTCCTGGAGGGCTCAGTGGTTGTTTTATTCATTTCAGTTTTCTAGTCAGTATCAACTGGGTGGTCAACTCCAGGGGACACTAATCATGTGACATTTAACTGGAAGAGTTGCCATTCACAGAATATGCAGTGTGAATTGTGCTCCCCTGAGCACCACTCACAGAAAATGCAATATGAATGGTGCCTCCTGGAATTGTGCCCTCCTTAGCAAGGTGCTAGAGCTAAGGGATAAGGAAATGTTTGCTGAGTAAGGAAATGAGTGGAATCTGAAGTTACTTCTTGCTCATTCCACCACCCAGGATAAAAAGGAAAAGTTGACTAAGGGGTGAAGAAAGTGGGGGAAGAGGAAAGGTGATTATTAGCTACAAGGCTTCAATGCTTCAATGAGATTGCGGGGGTGCTGGTGGTAGTACAGGGGAGGTGGGGAGAGGGGATATTAAAGCAAGTATCCTATTCCCAGGTGTCTTCCTTAATTTTCTTTGAAATATTACATCTTCCCTATCTTGGTGTAGAACCACGCTGGTAACTTGACAGCCCTGAATTTGGCACCTAGCAAGCTCTTTTGTTGAATTGTGTTGTTCATTTTTTTTTTTAAATTACATTTAGCACCTAACATGAGCCAAATTCTGTGTTAATGCTGGAGGTAAAATGGTGAACAGGACAGCAGAGGTTCCCACTCTGCGTGGGGAAAACAGACCATTGTATATCACCCTCAAAGTGTTAACAATCACCCTCAGAAGATGGTGTTTAAATTGAGACTAGAAGAATAAGCAGAAGTGATACAGACTGAACGAAGTCAGGAAGTGGAAAGGACATGGTCCTTTGAAGTGGGTCTGCAACAAGGGAGTGAGGGAGATCAGTGGGCAAGGGCCGGATCGTACAGGGCTTGTGGAGTTTGGATTGTATCCTAAGGGTAATTAGGAACCAATTGAAATATTACGTCTTAGTGCTTATAGATTTTTAGGAAAGAAAGTGACGTGGTCAAATTTGAAATTTTGAAAATGGAGCGCAGATTGGAGGGGTCAAAGGTAAAGGCAGGGAGCCCTGTTAAGATGCTACTGCGGCTGTCCTGGTGACAGATGATGTGTTTAACCAGGGTGATGCCAAAAGAGATGGAGAGAAGTTGACAGTTCAGGTGCATTTAGGAAGTGAAATCCGACAGGACTGGTTACAATAAAATAGCCCTATCTCAAAAAAGAAAGACCCCGGAGAAGAAAAACAGAAACAAAACACTTTATTTTGCTCCTTTTTCTTTTTTTTTTTATTTTTTTGTTCTCTTACAGAGACCAGCTGTTGCATTTATTTTGCTCCTTAACCGATCAGGAGTCCACCTTCCCTTAACCCAGTCGCCTCAATATAAGGAGATGGCTGAGGGACGAGGGGCGGGGCAGGAACCCACAAAAATCCGGGAACTTCTATTCAAACTGGGTGGACGACAGCGGAGAGTACACTAAAGAACACAGGAACTTCCGGTTACTCCGGAAGTGGAAGTTTCACACGCTCCTAAGCTCCTCCCCCGGCGGCGAGCCAGGGTGAAGGCATGGCCGGCCGGGCGGCGCGGCTGGTGCTGCTAGCTGGGGTAGCTGCAGTAGCAAGCGGCTCCCAGGGCGACCGTGAGCCGGTGTACCGCGACTGCGTACTCCAGTGCGAAGAGCGGAACTGCTCGGGGGGCGCTCTGAAGCACTTCCGCTCCCGCCAGCCAATCTACATGAGTCTAGCAGGTAAGCCCCTCCCATAGAAAGCCCCGCCCATTGGTCTTGGCCCCGCCTCTTGTACTCTGCAATCTCTGGACCTTAATTTCCCTACACAGGGTCTCTTATGAGTGTGAGTGAGTGGAGCCCCGTGGGTGATGAGAGCCTCATCAGCCTGTCTTACTTTACCAGAAACTTTCATTCGCTTTTTATTTATTCAGTCAAAAGGATATTTACTAAATACTTACTGGGTACAAAGCCCTGGAATGACACAGAAATCACACCAGGGTCTTGCCCTTTGGAGCTTACAGTCCCCATGGGACATTAGCCTTCTCAAGTACAGGAATGATTTGAGTCCTAAAAGACTCTTAGATTAAGCACTAGAAGCATTTGGGATGGTAAGGAATCTACTCTGGCTTTGAGCAGGTGGAGGCAGGGATCATCTTGGAATATTTTTAACAAAGGAGGGCTTCCAACAGATACATTAAATTTGGACCTGTAACTATAATGGGCAAGGAACCAACACATTGAGCACTTACCATGTGGCAGGTGTTGCAATAAGTCTGTTAGTTTTTATCACAACCTTTTGACGTAGTTTCTCTAATCCCAGTTTTACAGAAACTCAGAGAGGTTAAGTGCCCTGTCCAAGGTCACACAGCCAGTTAGTGATAAAGCAGAGTTTCCACTTCTGGCCTGTTACAACAAACTTGTCCTTTTTACTATCACGTTGCATTCCGGACAGAGGGAACAGAGTGAGTGGATGCCCTGGGCAGATGTGGGCACATCCAGTGGCTTGCTTTACTCAGGGAGCAGAGTGCATAAAAGTAGTGACAAATAAGGTTGGAAAGTCAATTTGGAGCCTCAAAAGTCAGGCTGAAGAATTTGGGCTGCATTTGCAAAGCAGGGGGGTAAGACAGTAAGGGCTCCATCCTGGTGGGTAAGAGTAAATCCTGGCCTGGTGCGGTGGCTCATGCCTGTAATCCTAGCACTCTGGGAGGCCGAGGCGGGTGGATCATTTGAGCTCAGGAGTTTGAGACAAGCCTGAGCAAGATCGAGACCCTGTCCCTACTAAAAAATAGAAAGAAATGAGCTGGACAACTAAAAATATATAGAAAAAATTAGCTGGGCATGGTGGCATGTACCTGTAGTCCCAGCTACTTGGGAGGCTGAGACAGGAGGATCGCTTGAGCCCAGGAGTTTGAGGTTGCTGTGAGCTAGGCTGACACCACGGCACTCACTCTAGCCAGGGCAAAAGAGTGAGACTCTGTCTCAAAAAAAAAAAAAAAAGAGTAAATCCTGTGTTCAGGAAAGGCAAACATTAACCCAGGTTTACATAGGTGAGTCCATCTCACTCTGTTGCCTGGGTGATCAGATGTCAAGATCACCATCTTGGATGAAAGGAAAAGAGAGGAAACATCTCTATTTGCTCACTATACACTCCCACCCCTAAAATACACCTACATAGACACATATCCCTTCCATCCCTTATCCATTTAAGTGAGAAGGTAGAATTTTGAGATTTTTTCTGGTTCTTTCCCACGTGCAGACCCTCTTGGCCTGTGTTTGAGCTTGGGCCCCATTCCTGATCTCTTTGTACTTCTCTGTACTGGGGAGTCCACCAGGCCACATTTGTCTGTTTCAGGCTGGACCTGTCCGGACGACTGTAAGTATGAGTGCATGTGGGTCACCGTTGGCCTCTACCTCCAGGAAGGTCACAAAGTGCCTCAGTTCCATGGCAAGGTGAGTTGGAGGGTCAGGGTAGGTATATAGTGGTAGTGTGGTAGGCGTTAGATACCTCCCAGTTGGACCACACTGTCCAAGCAATCTGAGGCATGGGGTGATGGGTGTGTGTTCATACCTGTTCTTCTCAAATTTGCTGGTTTTTATATAATTGGGTGGGACCTGCCTCTGAATTTAGATCTACAAGATCCAGGAGGCTTTGAAGTCTCCTCAGAAAGGGGTGCTGGGGGCCGGGCGTGGTGGCTCATGCCTATAATCCTAGCACTCTGGGAGGCCAAGGTGGGTGCATCGCTCGAGGTCAGGAGTTCAAGACCAGCCTGAGCAAGAGTGAGACCCTGTCTCTACTAAAAATACAAAGAAATTAGCTAGACAACTAAAAATATGTAGAAAAAATTAGCCAGGCATGGTGGCGTGTGCCTGTAGTCCCAGCTACTTGGGAGGCTGAGGCAGAAGGATTACTTGAGGCCAGGAGTTTGAGGTTGCTGTGAGCTAGGCTGACACCACGGCACTCTAGCCTGGGCAACAGAGCAAGACTCTATCTCAAAAAAAAAAAAGAAAATGGTGCTGGGATTCTTAGGGTGGTTGAGATGCCCACCATGCTATAGGGAGAAATTTCCTGACACGTCGTGCCATGTTTTCTGTTGCTTTTCTGGTAGCAGTCTGGATTAATACTGGTCTGGATTGCCCAGCAAGGCATAGTTTGCTGGTGCCTTTCGAACCAGTATTATTTCATTCTAGCCTATTGAGGTTGGCAGGAATTATTCTCCCTACTTTTCCACAGAGTAAGCTGAGGCCCAAAGGACTGTGGTCAGCAGTAGAGGAGGGACTGGGACCTGTGTCTTCTGGATGGCAGGTCTGTGCTGTTTCCACCAGGCCACAGTGAGCCACCCACACTGGCCATCTGGTTTTCCCAGAGATTAGGGCTTACAGTGCTGTGCGTGCTGGCCAGGACAGGGGGCATGACCCTTACCCAGGCAATGGAGGAGCACTGAACCTGAGGCTTTAGCCAAAGTGCAGAGCTGAAGAGCCAGCTGGAGACCTGTTAATGCAGCATGTCAAGAAAAGTGTGACTGGGCCAGCTGGGGGTTGCCTGCCCCTCAAGCCACCTCCATCTGCTCCTTTTTCAGTGGCCCTTCTCCCGGTTCCTGTTCTTTCAAGAGCCGGCTTCTGCTGTGGCCTCTTTTCTCAATGGCCTGGCCAGTCTGGTGATGCTCTGCCGCTACCGTACCTCCGTGCCAGCCTCCTCCCCCATGTACCACACCTGCGTGGCCTTCGCCTGGGTAGGTAACCTGGCAGGATTCCTGCTGTAGCCCCTCCTCTAGGAAGGAGGAACTCTTAGATCCCTATTAATACCCAATAGGGCTAAATCTGCAGCTGTGGGGCGGTCACCCCTGGGGAATAAACAGGGAAAGTGCTGAATCAGGCCTTACCTTTCTAGCAGAGTCCCAGGCCAGGTGGTTTAGGAAGGAGAGGGGAGAGAGACATTTTTCTTGTCCTGAAGAGGAAGCCACTAAAAGACCCAGTAGGGCAGTTGACAAACACAGAAGGGAGATGGGTGGTAGAAGACCCCTCTGGAGGACTGGGAGTGATCTCAGTTCTAGCCCAGATCTACTAGACGGTGGCAGCCACAGGACTCTGTCTGGAGCTCAGCCTAATCCCAGACCATCCCTGGAGAAGCTGAGGTATGGTTCCATCTGAGTACCGAGAAAAGGCTGTCAGCCTCAGTGTGGTTGGTGTGAGCAGCCAGTATCCAGGGCCTGGAATTGTGCGAGAGACATGGACTAGGGTACAGATAAGAACTGTGACAGCCCTGGGGAGGGTGTGAGAGTCAGAGGCTGCAATGCACGTCTCTAGGTCAGAACCATCCCTATAAACCTTCAGGAAAAAATCCACACTCACCTGCCTGCTGTCACAGCAACCATTCACTCACGTGCTGAACACCTACTATGTGCCAGGCACTTTTCTGGGTGCTAGACACCCAAGAGTATATAAAAATAGGTCCCTAAATTTGAGGAGAGTAGAGGGAGTCCTCTAAACCAAGGGTGGGGAACCTGCAGCCTCACGGCCACATGTGGCCCTCCAGATCCCCAAGTGTGGCCCCTCTACCGAATCCAAACTTGATGGAACAGATCGCTTTATTAAAAGGATTTGTTCTGTAAAATTTGGATTAAGTCAAAAGGCCACACTCAAGGATCCAAGACTCAGAAAGTGCACAGGCAGGAGAGAGTGAGGGTCATTTGAGGACCTAAAAGGCCAGGAGGCCTGCCATGCAGGAAGCCAGGGAGTGGGTGTGAGATGGGTGGGCAGATGGGCGGCGCATGGGGCCAGCCCACGGAGAGCCTCACACTGTAGATCTTGACTCTCAAAGCATCAGGAAGCACCGAGGGATTTTAAGTGAGGATTGGGAAGAGAAGTGGTTTCATGAATAGATTTACTCTTTGGAGAACTCATTCTGGCTACTGTATAGAGAACAGATTGGAGGAGGCGGGAGTGGATGCAGTAGACCAGTTGGTAGTTTTAGCACAGGGCCCAGCAGCTATACTAGAGAGGTGACACAGGTCTTGGGCATTAAAGGGAAGTATGTTTCAGTTGTGTTTTGGAGGTAACATGAAATTTTTTAAAATTTTATTTTATTTATTTAACTAATATGCACAGCTCTGACTGTATTCCAGGTACCATTTTAAGCATTTGATAAATATTAACTTTGTTTATCTTGTAACAAGTGTCAAGAGACAAAATGACAACCAATTTAGTTACAGATCCAATTGGCTTTTATTTGCAATTCATGAATTGGGGCAGCCTTCATTCTGCAAATTAGAATGAGAGCTCCGCTGGGGAATAGCAGAGCAGTGCGTTCTGTACGGCCGGAAGGAGGCAGAACAATAGTGGGGAAAAAGCTGATTGGTTAACATCAGGTTACTTTTTTGTAAGGATTGAAGCAGAGGGTACTTCCTGTTTATGCTGATTTAGGTAGACTAGAATCTCCTGTTTTTAGGAAAAAGTGGTCTGTTCAGGGCTCTATCTGGCTCCTTAAAGTTTTAGTTTGATTATGTGGCATTGAGCATGAGTGACTCCATTTTGGTTTGCTCTGGTCTGCTGGGGCCTAGTGCAGGGGTTCTGTCCCAATCAGTGGGCCCCCATGGTGTTTGTTTAACACAGCTTATGAGGTGGCTATTATTATCATCCCCAGCGTACAGTGGAGGAAACCACAGACTGAAATGGTTCAATTGCTTCCCCTCGGTCGTGGAGCCAGGGTTGATTCCAGGTGTCTGGCTCCAGAGTCTCCACTTCCACCGTCTTGGCTGTGCTGACAGGCCGTGGTGGCGGGTTAGATGGGGAGAGAGGAATCAAGGATGACCCCTGTGTTTCTGCGTGTGAGACAGTGATGGGAGCTGTGAGTGTGGGTGAGATCACCGCGGGAGACGGAGACCTTGGACTGCGAGGAGAGAAGGGGTCTAGGATGGAGCCCTGAGAAACCCTAAAACCTAATGGCTGGATTGAGGAGGATCAGGCAGCGATGGAGACAGAAGGAGTGGCCAGAGGCGTAGGTGGAAAACTAGGAGACTGTGTCGTGTGCTCGGGGGAGCCCTGGGACAAGCACGGGAAGGAGAGAGTGGTTTGCGTTCCTGAATTTTACTGGACGGTCAGTGTAAATGAGAACTGAAGGATGCCGCTGGGTCTGGTGACCCAGAGGTCTCTAAGGACCTTAAGAAAACTGCTAGCAGGGGGTGTGCTGAGAAGTCCAGGCCGAGCCTTGGACCTGGGAGGTGGGCACCAGAAGGGGCCAGGGTAGGACACTGTTAAACCTCTAGGAAGTGTCGATCCTCCCTATACTTCCTATTCAGCAACTGTTAATGATAATCGTTATGAATTATGAAACACGAGCCATGTGACAGGCTTGTCCTAAGCACTCTACGTACATTTTCTTGTTTAATCCTCATAACACCCCTGTGAGCTCTGAGTAAGGCTCAGAGGGAGCAAAACTTGCCCGAAGTCAACAGCTAATGAGTTAGCAAGGAATGGAGACAGGCTTGGCATCCAGGGCTATCTGACCCCGCGGCTTGAGTTCCCGTCCCCTCTTCTGGGCTGCCACCATATCCTATGATGAATGTTCATGGAACATTTGCTGTGGGTAGAGACAGGGTTTAGCACTTGTAGGGGCTGAAGGCCCTGCCCCAGGGAGCTAAGGGTAGTGGGAGGCGCAGGTCCAGCAGGCCTGGGCAGCAGAATGCAGGCAGAGCCGAGGGGGCTGGGCAGGGAGGCCTGAGAGTTGTGAGGCAGGGAGACCACGTCCTCTAGCTGGGGACGTCTGCCCGGGAAGCTCAGGGAGGAAGGGGTTTCATTGGGACTTGCAGGCCTGGCAGGGCTTAGACACGTACATATCGGGGGAGAGAAGACTGGATTCCAGCATTCCAGGCCTGAGGCACATGTGAGACCTGGCCACATGTGGGACCAAGCCAGGCAACCGAGGGAGAGTCAGTCTGGCCCCAGCGTGGCTGTGTGAAGGGACAGGAAATGGAGCAGAGAAGGCACTGAGTGCCAGGCTGAGGGCCAGGGGCTCTGAGGTAGGCAGGGCCTGGCATCAGCACACACTGTCACAGGCAGGGGTGAGACAGAGGCACCACTTCCTGTGTAGGTCTCTCGCAGAGAAGGGAATTTGGTCCTGGCCAAGAAAGCAGGAAGGGCAGGGAAATTGAGGAGGTTGCACCTGTCCCCTTTCCCCTGGGGTTCTTCCAGGGACACTGCTTGTCTGGGCCCACTGCCTGTACCGCCCCCTTGCCCCGGCCCCTATTAGAGAGCATGGGGCAGCCCTGCCTGAACTCTCTGAACACAGCTCAGAGCCTCCTTGGGTAGACCGCAGATCTGAGGGGACCTCAGGGGGTCCTAGCCTTTGACTGCATGACATATGCCAGAGGCCAGTGGTCACTTCACAACGCTGGTCTTGATTTCCCTGATTCTTGGATCTTTCATCTCAATGGTGTCTGGGACTCAGCTTCCTTCTTGGCAAGGGGGTCACACTTCCCAGGGTATCCTGCAGTCCAGGGTGACCAAGGACCCTTAGGGAAAGAGCAAGAGAGTTAGGGTGGGAGAGAGCAGATAGCTGCAGCCTGTGTCTTAGGGCACCCTACAGGATATGGGGTTCTGGGACATGGGAACCCCTCATGCCACCAGCAGGCCCTCAAGGGACAGAGCCTCAGAGCGCACACTCCTGTCGATGACCTGGTTTGGATTTCCCAGTTGACCTTTAGTCCTGTGTGTGATTCTGCAGGAGGGAGGGATCTTGAGCTGTGTGGAGGGCGTGGCAGTGGACTTCGTCCTGGGCCGGGTCTTCTGGAGCAGTGGGGCTCCTGATTTCTGTTGGGGTGGGGTAGGAAGGCCCCTCACCTGCTCCAGGTTAGGTCTTGGAGGAGGAGTGTCTCCGTCTGATCTCTGGGAATTGAGGAGCCCTGCAGCCTAATGAAGCTTTGGTGCAAGAAGGCGGCCCCTGCCTTGCCACTTAGGTTTGGGCTTTGGCTGGGCAGCCGCCAGGCAGGGGTGGGGAGCCTGCCAAACCTCCGCACACCGTGGCCCTTTGACTTCACGGTGCAGGAGGCCCCTGCTCTCTGCCAAAGCTAGGAGCCAAACCAATTCCCCACCCCTTCATCTAGCGAGGAAAGGTCCTCAAGTGTAGAGATAAGGGGGTGAACTGGCAGGGAATTCCAAACTGTCTTTGCAGGATGATTTATGGGTATGAGGACTGACCGTGCACTCCCTCTGTTGAGGAAACTACAAGAGGTAGGTTAAGGCTGTAGCAGAATGGTGGTCAGACTTCAGGAAGGACTTCCCAACAGTCAGACAAGAGCCAGTGGAACAAGCAATAGCAGGAAATCAAGGAATCCTTTGTGCTGGTGGAAAAAGCCCTCCTTCCTCCATCTCCATCCACCTCTGTCCCCCTCTCAGGAAGGAGCAGGGGCAGGCTTGCCCTGCCCGAGGCAAAGGGTGAGACGCTGTGGCCTGGTGGGGGGGGCAGGATGGCAGCAGGCGTCATATTTAACATTCTGCCTCCCCCACTTCTGAGACACCAAGCTATTTAAAGACCCACTTGTCCCTACCGCCACGGTGTCAATGACAGCCCGGAGCACTGGGGCTTAGCGCTGGGGTCGAATTCCTGACAGATCTGGCTCACTTGGCATCCAACCAGTTTCACAGCTATGATATTTTTGTCTCGATTTTCTTATTTTCCAACAGACTGAAACAGCCTCTTGCTCTCCCTCTGCCCAGCCTCCATTTCCACCCCCGCGGGCACCCTGGCCGCCCCCTCTCCTCAGTGTTTACGCGCAGTGCTCGGTGCCCGCTGGGCAGGCCCTCGCCCTCCTGGCCAGTTAGCCCGTCCGCGCCCCGTTCCACGCGAGCTCGGCTGAGGAGCCTGAGAGCAGTCGTAGTTTGCATCTCGGACTTCCCCTTCCTTCCACGTCCATCTGTCCCTGCACCTTGATGACAAGCTCTGAGTGCAGAGAAATGGTATCTCTTCAGTCTATACTAGTGGGATAGTGGCTCAAGAGGAGGAGGGGCTCTTCCCACGGCTGCGGCTTCTGCATTCAGGGATGGAGAGATCCTGGGGCCCCGTGGTTTGACCTTGAACTTTGTGACCCTTGAAGAAAGGGAAGTTGGGGGTCAGGCGAAAGAAAGTGGTGAGAGTCACCCTGTGGGACACAATGAAGGAAACCGACATTTATGGAGCATCTGCTGTGTCCCAGGCAGCGGTAACAGCAACCGTTTACCTAGTGAGTCCTTAGTGCCAGGCGCTTTGCAGACATTGCTCTCACGACCCTCCTGTGCGGTGGGTACTGTCATGAACCCTGTTTTGTAGATGCGGTAGCTGAGACTCACAGATGGTAAGTTATGTGTTCAAGGTCACACAGCTATTTAGGAGCCGAAGCAAGACTTGAAGGCAGAGGCTGTTTCATGGTGGAAACTCCAGACATTCTGCCCCAGCCTGGAGCTGTGGAGGTGGCCCTAGGCTGCTGGGGAGACCACCCCTCCTCTGTCTAGGTGTCCTTGGCCTGCAGGAGAGTGGGACGCAGACTTGGCCCCTTCATTGTCAGGTCTGTGAGGAGCTGAGAGGGCTCTGTGCTGGTCAGCAAGGTGGAGTGAAATAACACCTAACACTTTCCCCGTCCTGGGCACCGTGCTGTACACTGTGTTTGCATTGTTCCTACAATCCTTATCAACACTATGATTATTCCCATTTTACAGATGAGAAAACTGAGGCACAGCAAGGCTAAATAACTTGCCCAAGGACACACGGGAAATGCAGGCTTTGCACCCTGGCAGTCTGGCTCTAGGGCTTGCGGTCTTAATGACACTACTTCCCAAATCTGAGGAGAGGGTGAGAAGAGGAGCACCCCCAAAATGGGACACTCCCCAGGGGAGAGGGGGACTTTTCAGGGGTGCAGAGTCCAGGCTTCAGGTGGATCTCTGTAAGTGGAAGGAACCCAGGGAGGTGGTTGGACAGGGGACTGAATAGCCCTCACATGGCCCTTTGCATATACACGAACACACACACCCTACTCTGGGTGTTCCAGCCACCACTTAGCTCAGTCCTCTTGTCACCTCTCCCTTCCTGCTGTGGGTGACTGGAACCCACAGGCCTGGCTGGCTGCCAGTCCCTGCTGCCTTCCCCTCCTTCCTCCCACACTGGCACCAGGGCCACTCTCCTCCCTAAAGATGTCCCTGTTCCTGGCCTGTCCAGGAGACTTGGTCCACACGATTGCCTGGGCCTTGTCTCCAGCCCACGCCTGCTCTTCTCCCCGTCCTGACCCCAAGCTTTGCAGCTTTGTGGGAGCAGTGTTCAGGAAGCTGCCAGGTTCAGTCACATCTTCCAGCCTCCAGACCAGGCCTCCGTGACTGTCTCTGCGGAAGAGGCCTTGAGCCAGGTGGGAGGGACAAAGTGGCCATCCTCAAAGAAAGAAGGAACCCGACCTAGACCAAGTCACCTGATGCCAGGGCTGAGAAGGAACTAAAATTTCACTTAGGCTGCTGATTTGTCCCAGGGACAGCTTGGGCTGAGAAGGGAAGGGCCTTTGTCCAGGTCAAGGGACGCACAAGCAGCAAGCCCAGCCCAGGGCCCAGGCCTGGCAGGCCACACCTGGCTGCCTTGAGCCCTCCCAAGCTGGCATTGTGAGAATGCCAGATTGGCTTTGCGACAGAGCCCTTCCCTGCCTCCACCCTTCTCTTCCCATTCTCTCCTAAGCTCCCCGGGCCTGCATTAGGGAACTCACTCTACCGGTGACCCTGCCACGGCAGTGCCTGACAGAGAGTGGCTTCTTGCCCTGCTCCTCTGTCCTCTGCCTGGCCTGCTTTCCTGGCACGCTGGGCCTGTGTGAGCAGCTCTTGGCCTTTACCCATCTCTGCAGGCCCATCCCACCCTCGCCATCCCTCCCACCTGCAGGCGGTTCCAGGCCTGGCCCTACTGTTCCTTCCTTTGGTTGTCACAGGTTTCCCATCCCTTCCTCCTGCCCATTTCAGTCATTTGGGCCTCTGCTGTGGACACAGCAGTCCCTGAAAAAAGTGCCAGCTCTTGCCCACCACAGCTCTTCCAGCCCTGTCCTCCACTCCTCCCAGGGCTTGGGAGCAGCCACTGGTCTGGCGGGTTGGGCCGGCCCAGCCAGGAGGAAGCTGGGCTCCCTTGGCCGCCCTCCTGCTCAGAGACTGGGCCCCAGTGGGACCTGCCTCATCTCCCTCCCTCCCTCAGATCACACCCCAAGCTGGCTGGAGCCCCTCCACCCCACCCACCTCATTCCCGCCCCCAGAGACTGAGGTCACTGGCTCCCCTGGGCCCTGGGTGGGGCTGTCATCACCTGCTGGTTGGGGGAGGAGGCAAGGCCCCTGGGGGCTGTTGTCTTAGCGATTGAGTAACCAGGGAACTTGGCTCTGTCAGAACTGGCTCCCAGGCCAGGCCGGAACCTGCGAACCTGTAGAGGCTGCAGCCCCCTGTGGCCTTGGGGGCTTGGGCTGGCGGGAAGTCAACCTGAGGGAACCAGGCTAGGAAGGGGTGGAGGGACATGGGTTTGTTCAGCGGCCCCCAGGGGCCAAGGGAAAGCACGTGTCTCACCCCAGAGAGCCCCTTCCAGAAGGCAAGGTGGATATGACCCTCTGGGGGTCTCCCCCACCGCATGGTGGCATGCTCACCAGCCTGTCCCTCCTCAGGTGTCCCTCAACGCTTGGTTCTGGTCCACTGTCTTCCACACCAGGGACACCGACCTCACAGAGGTGAGCGCCCCTCCAGCTCCCCCTCCTGCGTGGGACTATCTTAGAGGAGCCCAAGAGGGGTGGGCAGAGCAGGGCTCTGGAGCGGAGCTGACCCCTCTGAGGGGCACATACTCTGAGCGAGATGTTTCAGGCCTCTTCGTGCTCTTGAGCTGCACTCGACCCTTGTGAGGCAGGTGTGACTGTTACCTCTTTCTGACTGACAAGGCAGCCAAGCCTTGGAGAGGCGAAACCACTTGCTCAGGGTCGCCCAGCCAGTGAAGGGGCTCGATCAGGATTGAGTCCACGGCTGGTGAGCTCCGGACCAGGCTCTGCATTCCGCGACGGCCACCCTCCACCACTGCCTCTGAAGTCTCACTGCTCAGCACGTTTTTAAAAAATTGTAAAATGTGATCTCAAGGGTCAGTCTGTTCAATTCAGGAGTGAAACAGCGATAGGCAGAAGGAGCAAGAGATACCGTCCCCACTGACAACAAGCCCGGGACCCCCATTCCCTCCCTGCCCCCCTGCTTGCCCCCATCCCCGTGGGCCTTGTCCATCTCCCGCTCCCCTCACACTGGCCCCCCGTGGCTCTCCCTGTCCTCAGAAAATGGACTACTTCTGTGCCTCCACCGTCATCCTACACTCAGTGTATCTGTGCTGTGTCAGGTGAGCCTGCCTTGGTGGCTGCAGGGGCAAACTCCGGCCCTAGGGGCAGAAAGGGGTCACCCTCCCCTGGGGGGTGCTGCCCTGAGGGCCTGGTCTCCCAACACCCCCTCAGGCTGTCCTGGATGGGGACTCTGAGGCAGGACTTGGGGGGGCCTGGCTCCCCACAAGGAGCCGTAGCACTTGGCCCCAGGCCTCTGGGGGGCGGGAGGCCTGTCCAGCCAGCCTGTTTTGGTGGGGGAAGGGCTTAGTGGCTTCAGGGATCACATACTGATGTTGAGGGGAGGAGATGCTTCAGGGGATGCTGCTCTGGGGACGGGCCGCCCACCATCTGAGCAGCTTCTGATGGTGGGGCAGGACCGTGGGGCTGCAGCGGCCGGCTGTGGCCAGTGCCTTCCGGGCCCTCCTGCTGCTAATGCTGACCGCGCACGTCTCCTACCTGAGCCTCATCCGCTTCGACTATGGCTACAACCTGGCAGCCAACGTGGCTACTGGTGAGGCAGGGCTGAGGCCTCAGGGGCCTTGGGCTATCTGCAGAACTGCTGGCTTGGGATGCGGGTTGTGGGGGCGGGTAGGGTCCATACCTGTAGAAGGAGGTTCTAGAGAGACCCTTAGGGTGGAGGAAGCGGGAAGAATTTGAGGTGGGAGAGGAGAGGCTGGGAGAGCCTGAGGCTGATCCTGGGGTCAAAGAGCATGGGGCTGGGGGTGGCCTTGGGGAGAGAGAAGGAGTCCAGGGAATGAGCCTCTCCTGCCCCCACCGGCACCCAGGCCTGGTGAACATGGTGTGGTGGCTGGCCTGGTGCCTGCGGAACCGGCGACGGCTGCCTCACGTGCGCAAGTGCGTGGCAGTGGTCTTGCTGCTGCAGGGGCTGTCCCTGCTCGAGCTGCTCGACTTCCCACCTCTCTTCTGGGTCCTGGATGCCCACGCCATCTGGCACATCAGCACCATCCCTGTCCACGTCCTCTTTTTCAGGTTGGTGCTACTCCCTGCCTGGCGCCCGCCCGCTTTGTGCCCTTCCTTGCCTGCTTCTGCGCCCATCCGCCCCCTCCCAGCCTGCCTGCACTCCCCCCACCCCGCCCCCAAGGGAGCTCTCAGAGCTGCATGGCTCAGTGGGCTCCTCCCTCGGCCCACAGCTTTCTGGAAGATGACAGCCTGTACCTGCTGAAGGAATCAGAGGCCAAGTTCAAGCTGGACTGAGGACTCTGGGAGCGGGATCCTGCCCCCTCCCTGATGGTTCCCTCTTCTCCCCTCAACCCTCTCCATGAATTCTTTTCTCCTTTTAGCTTCTTGAACTTGGACATGAGGGATGTGGGCCCAGAATCATGTGGCCAGCCCACCCCCTTGCCAGCCCTCGCAGGTCTTAGAGCCTGTTCTGGGGACGGCCTCCCAGTATCTGGGGCTAGAGAACCGGTAGCCCCTCTGGTTTCTGGAGCTCAACTGGACAGAACTGAGTGTGTCCTTAGCTCTACTCAGAGAAGAGCTGCCTGTTTCCTCCCCACCAGGTTCCTCCCTGATCCCCTGCTCCCTGGCTGGGTCCCAGAGCCCTCGGTGTATCTGGGACACCAGGCACTACCTGCCTTTGGGGAAACAGTGGGGTCTCCTTCGGTTCCCCCCTGCCCTCCTCCAGGGCACCACTAGGTGGCACTGGATGCTTGCTCTTTGGTTAGCCAAATTTCAAGGCCAGTCTCATTCTCCCCATGGGATCTTAAGGGTCCAAGCTGCTGGGACTGGGGAGGGGTTTCACCCTGACAGTTGCCCCAGCCAGACTCCCAGGAGGCCTCACCACATTCCCCTTTAGGGCTGGACACCCGTAAACCCAGGACAAGAATCCTGTGCTGCTGTCCTGGTTGGGAGCCTGCACACGAGTGTGCCCAGGAGTGTGGGCCAGACCAGTTGTGTAGCTGGGTGGGCCGTGAGCATGGGCTTGGGTGTGTGTGAGCCTGGGCCGGGGTGTGCAGTGTGGAGAGTGGGGTGTGTGCGTGGCGGGGGCGGGGGTTCAAAGTGTGTGTGTTCAGGGAGCGGGTGGGTTAGCGTGGGTTAGGGGAACGTGCACGCGAGTGTGCGCGTGGGTGTGTCTGAGATGCGTGGGGATGCAGGTGAATGCGCCACACAGTCGGAGGAGGCTGGAGCAGGATGGGAAAATCATGTCACCATCAGTAGTTGATTATTGAGTACCGACTGTGCCCAAGGCCCCAGCCAGGCGGGCAGCCATGATATCCCCATGTTCTGCCCGGGGGGCCAGGTGTCCAGGATGCCTGTGTGTGGATGTGCTCCTGTCCCGTGCCCCTTTGCCACCCTCCTCCAAACCTCACAGGGCCCCCATACAGCTTAATAGCACCCTCCAGAACCAGCCCCTCAAGGGCCGAGGAAGGAAAATGGAGATCCCCTGGACTCTCTCCAGCCACCTTGTCTCCTCACCTTAGCATAGTTGGGCTCTTCCTTCACCCCCCTTTCCCTGCTGCCAGCCCCTTTGCCGCAGCCTGGACTTCTGGAAGGGACCAGGTGATCTGAGGGAGGAGGGGAGACAGCTATGGCTGGATCTGGTTTCTGCTCTCCCCAGAGGGGCTAACTGTCCCAGGGGAGCCCCAGGGCAGGCAGGAGCCACACTGTGCCTGCATCCCAGTAAAGGTGACCCCCTGCCAGTTGCCAGCAGCCCTGGCACAGTCCTGCCACACAAAAGTAGAATGTGGAGCTCCAGAACGTTCCATCCCAAAAGCAGTCTCTGTGATTGGTGCAGGGAAACTGGATTTTGCTTTGTTCCTGCCCCCTTCTTCCTCCTTGAGAGAGGGGAGCTTGCTAGGACTCCAACCTCAGGGACTTGGGTGGCCTATGTTAGGTTCTTTTGATACTGAAAACTATTTTAAAGTAGGAGAGTAGCAAGGGACACGCTTAATAAATCAATTCTCAGCCTCACCTCCCTTGCTCAGCTCATTTGTGTGAGTTGGGGAGGGTGCTGGAGGGAAGGAGAGGACCCAGAGCTGGCTGGAGGCAATAGACAAAGGTGGGGTCTTCACCTGGGCCCCTGGGGGTGGGGCAGTGGGACCAGGTGTGGAGTTGGGCAAAGCTCAAGTCCAGCTTGGGGGAGGGAGCTGGTGCCGCGTCTTCCCTCTCACTAACCTGGCCATTGTGCTTAGTAATACCCGCTACCTCCCCACCGCCTGCAAATTCCACTTAAGTCCCCTAAGTTTCCCCTCTCTCCCCCTTTCTGGTCTGAGCCAGGCTGCACCATTATTTGTTACTTAACCTCTCTGAGCTTCACCTGGAAACAGGGCACCAGAACCCGCTGCCGAATGCAGGACTGAATGATGCGATAGACGTAACTGTCTATCACAAGCGCCTGGTGCACTGTAGGAGCTGAGTGAGCTCCCCTGACCTCGGCCTGCCTTAGTTTGGGAAGAATGAGTGGTTACAGAAAGCTACCCTCAAGGAAGCTTCTGGAAAAAAAGAAAGCCTAGGGTTCGTGCCTCCCCCACCCCTACACTCAGCAGAGATCTCTGGGCCCTTGTTGCTTCCCAGGAGAGCCACAGACAGCACTGACACTCAGCAGCAGGGACTTATTTCTTTATTAGACGCCACCTCAGAATAGGGAATCTGCATGGCTAGGGGCATAGGGCACTGGCACATTGGGCCCTCACAACCCCACCCCCACCTTCTTCTGGGCCCAGGCAAAAAAGATGCCCTTGACATCATCTACACCTGTCCGGAGGTGCGCAGGCATGGTGTAGGTGCGAAGGTCCCGGACCTCGTAGCCACTATTCACCAGGGCCTCCCTCACCTCCTCCTTACGCACCGGCACCACCGCCAGCCTGGCCTCCCCAGCCAGGTACCACGACTCCTCCACCGCCCCGATGAGGAGGAGGTGCCCACCTGGCTTCAGCAGGGTGGTGATGTTGTCCAGGGCACGCTGGAAGCTGGCAAGGTCTGGGCTCACAGCCTCCAAGCAGAAGGTAGAGACCAGGGCATCAGCAGGCAGGGGCGCCTGGCTCCCAGCGCCCAGGGGCTGGAGCTGGTGCACGTCGACGGGCAGGACCCGCTTCACCCGGGCTCGCAGCTGACGCTCCTTCTCCTGCCAGGACTCACTGTGCAGGGGGCACAGGTGGGGCTCAGGACTGCCCATGCTCAGTCCTCTGTGCCCCCTACCAGCCACTCTATGGGTAGCCCCCTGGCCAGCTCTCACCCTCTAGCCCTTACCCCTTGCCCTCAATGAGGCAGACGTGCTGGCTGTACGTGCTCCAATCGAAGGCCCCCGGCTCCTCCCGCAGCCAGAGCCCCAGCTCCTGGCGATTGACCTCCAGGAAATCTGTCATGGTGATGTCCTCAAAGTGGGCACAGGCGCTGAGCAGCTGGTATATGGTGGGGCCTGAACCGATGTCAATGAGTGTGCATCCAGACACCTCGCCTGAGCGGAGCAGAGGAAGAGGGTCCTGGTGCCAGGCCTGCCTCAGTCACCCCTTCCTTACCTGCTGCTCCCTGCCATACTCTGGTTCCTTCTCCCCGGTAAGTGTGGCTCCGTCTGGAAAAAGCACTGGCTCAGAGTTAGGCAACCTGGCCGAGTCCTGGCTCCCACACGGACTCACCTACCTTGGGAGAGGAACTCAACCTCTCCTAGGCTCGGGTTCCACCTCTAGGAAACTGCCTGCCAGTGAGGGTTAGCGCGGAAATCCCAACAGCGCCCGCTGTTTCTCTCTCGTCTCCCCAAACTCTGCCTCCATTTCTTTCCCTGCTTCTCTCTTCATCTCAGTCTCTCCTGCATCCCCCACCTCGGCCCTCAGTTCTGAGCATTCTCCCCTCCCCGCCCTCTCTCCTCTGCGCCTCTCCCAAGGGATGTTGCTCCTCTCTCTCTCTCTCTCTCTCTCTCTCTCTCTCTCTCTCTCTCTGTGCTGCTTCTTGATCCCCACCGGCCTCCCTCACTCTCTCGCTCTTTTTCTGTCTGTCCCTGCACCCTGTCGCTCCCTGTGACTTCTTGTCCCTCGTGCCTCCGTTTCCCCGCGCTCACCGGTGGCGAAGGTCTGCGCCAAGCAGCGCAGCTTCCAAGGCCCGACGCCGTCCGGGCTGCTGAGGTCCCCGCGAGGGGGCGCGTAGTTGTTGCGGAGGTAGGCGCGCGGCTCGAAGCGCTGGTAGGCCGAGGCCACCGCCGCCCGGCCCGGGTCCGAGTCGGAGGCCGCGCCCGAGGTGTGGCTCGCGCCTGTCCCGCTCATGCTGCTGCCGCGACCCGCGCTGTCCGCCGCTCGCCCCGCGGCCGCTTTATCTACCGCCAGACCCCTGGCCGGCCCCTCCGCGGCGGGCAGCGGCTGAGTGATGAGCCGCCCGGGGCCACGCGCGCCACGTCTCCCCCACCCCATCCATCTCCTTTAGTGTCCGAACAGCAGACACACCAGAGGGGAGGGGGCGGCCGCGGGGACATCAGCTCCCGCCCCACACCGCTCCGCACTTGCTCCCGCAGCCCCCACCCTCCGCCTCACCCGCCAGTCCCTGTCCTGCCTCGCTCCCCCGTCCCCGTCTCCCAGCGCCCCCCAGACCTCCTCCAGGCCAGGCTCCCCTTCCTCCGGGACGTCCTTTCCAACACCCACCCTTTCCTTAGTCATGTCACCCTAACTCCCCTCCTCCAATCCTCTTCTTGTCCTTTCCTATCCCACTCTCATCCCCTCCCCGCCCCCCCACACACTCCAGAAAGGACAGTCCGTTCTGGCCTCCGCTGCCGTCGCTGCGGGGCCCCAGAGCCAGGCTCGGGCCCCGCCCGTCCGATGGCAGCAGCGATAGGGGAGGCGAGAGGGGCTAATGCACTTAGCAGGCGGAACAGCCCAGCCTCCCCCGCGGGCCCGCGGGCTCCACGCCGCTTATCTGGGGGCTGCCCAGGACGAAAGGTTCGGGATGTTCCCGCCACGTCCGCAGCGCGGGACCCAGGTGCGGGCCGGAGGGCTCGGGGCGCATTTTCCGGGGGCCGCCAGGGCCACCAGGGGGCGCAGTCCGGACCGTTGGGCGTCCGCAGATTTGGGGTCGGGAGGGTCTGAGGTCTCTGACCCCTCTCCTCTCGCAGCTCACACTCCAGCCCTCCTCTGCGAGAGCGAGCCAGGCCACATCTGTAGGTTCTGCTGGGCGCTCCAGGTACCTGGCTGTCAAGATGCTAGGGTCTTCTCTCCTGTCCCCACAAATGGGAAACCGATTCTGCCCACAGTATCTCCATGGTCTTCCTGAAGTGAGACCCCTCTGGAGCATCTGGTGCCCCTCTGCCCTGGGTAGGCTACCAGCTCCTGCCCAGATCGGTTCTCGGTCCCCTTGATCCTCCTTGTCCCAAGGGGAAAGCCTCATTGGGTGAGGCAGCCAGGTTGGGACATGAGTCACCACAACAGCTGCAGGGGTCACAGACAGGAACCTGACCTCCTACACCCCCCAGCCCACCCTGGGCTCCCAGGGCAGGAGGTTGGAGCGCCTGACCCCAGCCAAGGATTGATTGTGTCTGGAGTCAGAACTGAGAGGAAGGTTAGCCTTAGGGTCACTGACCCCATCCACATCCTGAGGAACAGCCAAGGACAGTCCTGGTGCCAGCCCCCTCCATATTCTCCAGGAGACATCACTGAAACAAAACCTGATGCCAGCTGGCCTGCCGGGCACTGCCCTATGCCAGGGTGCTGGACATAGAAGCCAGGGCTGGGCAGCAGAGTCAGGGGACAAGAGGGGGACGGGATAGACAGCCACCCTGTTTACAGCTCTGTCCCTGCCCCCCTCCCAGGCAGGGAGTGTACCCACCACCTTTGCCATATTTAGCTCAGATGCAGGGCCTGTTCCCAGAAGTGGGCATGGCGGGGGGGACACCAATGGGCTGGCCCCACAAGCACAAGGCAAGAGACGAGACTGTAACACAACTGAGCATTTATTGCAGCGCTAACAGCGTGCTGGGGGCCTCACTCTGCCTGCCTCTGCCCTCGTCACGTCCCCCTCCTCCAGTCGTCTCCAAGCCTCCTGCCTAGAGCATTCCAGATCCCCTCACACTTTTCCTAGTCCTTCTCTGAAGCTGAAACCTGGACCAGGATCACTCCTCCCAGGCACCTCTCGCCCTCACCAGCATCTTTTGTCCTTTCCCCTGGGGCTGGGGTACTAGGCTATGCCGGCCCCCAGCTCTCCACCCTCAGCGCCCATTGTCTTTGCCCCCCTCCCTTTGGGAACTCCAGGGGCTCAGGCATCCTGGCCTCTGGCTCCCTCCTCCTCTAGCCCCCAACTCTGGGCAAACTACAAAGCAACCACGGCCAGCAGCTCCTCTCTGTAGTCCTAGCCAGGAAGGGCCCAGCCCAGGGCGAGCACAGTGGAGCCCGAGTCACAGTCCCTTTCAGCCTCTCTGTGCTTCCTGGGACATGGAGCGGGACAGGGAGCGACGGAGGGCACCGGGCTTGCTGACAGGCACCACGGGGGGAAGCTGCTTGGTGATCTCAGCCACCTCCTGGCGATTCACACACTGGCCACCCAGGGCTGTCTCCAGTGCCAGCAGGTCCTGCAGTGGGACGGGGGTGTCCTCGCGCTCCTCCTTGGCGGCACCCATCTTGGCGGGCGTGAAGATGGGCAGCGGCAGCACCCGCTGGTAGGGCAGCTGGTACTCCTGCAGCCCGCGGCCGAGGATGCCCATCCGCATCACCAGCCAGGGGGAACGCTGCACCAGCGCCTGGCACTGCCCCTGCTGGTGGTAGGTCTCACGCCGCCAGGCATCCTCCTCATGCAGGGAGCAACTGTGAAGGGGAGGGGAGGGGACCCTGAGCTCCAGGGAGCTGTTGCTTTCCAGTCGCAGGCTGGGCAGGGGACTCCCGGGACCTGGGGGCAGGAGGGGTGACTCCGCTTCCCTCTCCCCAGTAGGCACTCTTCCTGCCCCACCCCCAGAAACTTCTCCAGGGCTTTGTGCCCTGGCCCCATGTGGCTCAGGGAGGGTGCTTTGGGGGAGCAGAGGTGCGACTCCCGCTGACCCACACTCACCCCTCCTCAGGCCGTGTGGACAGCGTCAGATCATTCCACTCAGCCCAGAAGGCTTCTCGGCGCTCAGAGTCCTCCTCAGACACCCGGCAGCTCAGCTCTGAAGTGGCCATGATCACTCCTCACGTCCTCTCTGCTCTGCTCCTCCCAGGCCCTTTAAATAACCCCCTACTCCCCCTTCTCCAGGGGCTATTTTCAGCCTTCTGGCGTCAGATGCTATAAGCAGAGCCAAGACTCACTGATGGGGGGACTCTGGGCCCAGGGCAGGGGCTGGGGTACTTGGACCCTGGCTGCCCCCAGGCTGGAGGTCTGGGGCTGGAGTCCTCAAAGCAACACCTCCTGGTGCCCTACACTCCTCAGACACCGTCTCAGACCAGCCTTGTGTCCAGCCTCGTGCCCCCTTGGCACTTGCCCTCTGCCCCACCCACACCCCCTTGCCCAGGGAGGACAGCGGCTTGTCAGTAAACAGAGCAGGCACTGGTGCCCCTCTGCGCTCTGCACCAGGGCTGCCAGGTCCTGCCCCCACTGTTCTCTCCTCTGCCTGGGCTCAAGGGCACACCCTTAGACGGTGCCCCTTGACTGGGAGAAACAGTACAAACCACATCCTCAGGCGCCTGCACCAAAGGCCTAGTCCCTGACCACCACTGCCACACCAGCAGGGGTGGTGGACATTAGTTCCACACCTGGGACCCTGGGGCATGAACCTTTGCCAAGTGTCTTCCTTCCCCCTGGCCAGTGGTCAGAGAAAGGTCTCCTAAGGCGGGCCAGTGGGGTGGAAGGAGCCCCCAGCTCTACCTCAACACCTCACCTGGGATGAAATGGGACTCCAGGGCCCCGACAAATGCCAGTCAGAGACCTGGCTCCAGCCCCAAATCGGCCAGAAATAGGCTATGTGACCACGGGTCAGTCTCTGCCCCTCCCGGGGCCCCACTTTCCGGCCACAATGAGATGGCCAGGAGAGCTCTGGAGCCTGGCTCCACGTGCACCCTGGGAGCCCGGCTCTCATTCACGGGGAGCAGGGGAGAAAGACAGCTGTAGGGACAGCTCGGCACCCAAAGCTTGCAACTCACGGTGCAAGAGGCTGGCACACAGGTGGGGGGTATGGGGAGTACGGGGGGATGAGGAATGAGGGCATCGCTGAGTAGACAAAGCAAAGGGCACCAGAAGAGGCAGTGACAGGAGCTGAGCTGAGGACCTTGTGGGGACAGCAGAGTACCTGGCAGCTGGTAAGGCCCATGGGCACCCACCCGGGTGCAGAACTGCATACTATTGGTTGCTGCGGCACTATGCCTGACTCTTGATATCTCTTAATCTCTTAACAACTCTATGATATTAGTCCCATTTTCACAAAGTAGGAAACAGTCTAAGAGGTAGATTTGCTCAGGGTCACACACCTAGCCAGGACCAAGATAGGATCCACCTGGCTCTAAACAAGGTGGCTTCTTGGGAAACCTCCAGGCAGGGAGTGAGGAGGGCAGTGTCCTAGCCCGTGCCTGGGACCCCGAGCTCGGGCCATGGGGGCAGAGGGGATGGGCGAGTGGAGCCCGAGAGGCTCAGGGTTCTGCGTGGCTGGGATCCCAGAGCTCAGGCCCCACCTCCGGGCCCCCCAAATAGTCAAGGCCTGCAACCAGTCAGAGACCTGGCTCTGTGGGCACTGCCCAGCACCTCCCCCTACCCCCCCAATCCTGGGCTGGAGACCTTAACCTGCCCTGAGGCCTGGCGCGGGGGGAGAGGGGGGCGGCATTTTTCTCTGACTTGTCATCTGTTCCCTTGAACGGGTCAGGTGGGGGGAGGAGTGTTCCAGGAAACGCTCCCACTGGCTCTGCCCTCCTGTGACTTCGAGGCTGGGCTCTGTGATGTGTCGCTGCTCACTCCTTCCCCATCTAAACGCTGCCCTCCTCTCCCTCGAGAGGCCAGGCAGAGGGAGGGGTTGCTTTTTTTGTTCCAAGTTCATATTTTTAATTGGCTCAAATGACAAAGGTCCCCAAGGAGGCCCTCGGAGGAGGGAAACAACCTGGGAGAGGCAGAGACACACTGCCAGCACCCGCCATCCCCCACCTGCCACCCACTCCCCGACAAGTGTGTATGGAAAAAGGTCCCAGACCCTTTAAACAATCCTAAAAAACCGTGGTGAGAGAGCAGGCAGACGAAGGGCTCTTTCACCTTAACACTGGTGACAGGCAGCCCTGACCTGTCCTGCCCAGGGCCCTGGCCCCTCCAACCAGGTCTGAGGCTCCCACCCTAGACTCTGCCCCTGGCAGGGTAGGGGACAGAAATCTCCTCCAGGAGGTGGGGACACTGCATGAAAACAAGAGCAGGACAGACCCCACTTCTTCCGGCCAGCAGAGCCCCCGGGTCTGAGCACTCGACCGACCACCTGCCCAGGGCCATGGCTCCAGCACAGAGTGGCTCGGTGGAGGGTGGAAGCTTGGGGCCAGGTCCTGTGTGGACAGCAGGAAGCCCAGCTGCCCCCCTTTCTGGCTCTGGAGGCTGTGGCGACAGGACCCTGGCCTGCAGGGTGGGCAAGGAGGCATGGTCACACGCGTGCCCCCAGCTCTCCGATGCGCTGCCGCAGGTGGAAGGCAAATTCAAACATGGTGGCGGCGAGGCTTTGGTGGATGAGGTACCGGGGCAGGCGGCCCTGGGGGAAGGCAGGCAGAAGTTACATGATGGCTTGTCCTCAGCAGGAGCTCTGCCCTCACAGGTGGCACCAGCAGGGGTGCTCTGGGCCAGAACGCAGGTGCAGCTCTGGAATCCAGCCTGGGCCACCCCTTCCCCCCAGCCCTGGCAGGAAGAACATGCTGTGCCCAGGTCTTGGCACCAGCCGCACAAACAGACCCGGGCGAGGCTGGGCCGGCAGCCAGCCACCCCTCCTCGGGACCTCGAGAATCAGAGGTAAGAAGAGGGGCGCGTGCCGACAGCGGTCAGGGCTAAAAGACCACCGGGACCCTGCCCCCGATTTTCAAGTAAGAAAGGAGGCTGAAAGCAAGGCTCTGAGCATGGTAGAGAACCCCAAGGTCACACAGCCACCAAGTCAGCAGCAGAGTCCTCTCCATGCCACGAAGCCTGTCTAGCAGTGCCCAGCACCCCACCTTGAGATCTGTGTTGAGAATCCAGATGAAGGTGCAGACTCGGGGGTTGCTGGCCGACTTGAGCACGATGAAGCCCCCGGGACCATTCTCTCCCCTAAGGAGAGAGGCACCATTGGGGGGACTTTGGAACTGAGCAAGTTCCATGCCCCTGACAATCACATACGCCATTCTTGGCCCAGCTTGGACTAGAGTGGAAGAGGGAAGGCAGATGCTGGTCTAGAAACTACTACTCTGTTTGAATAAGGCTTAGCACAGCTGTCCCAGAGGCTGCAGTATCAGCCTCTGGGACAGTACCCACTCTCTGATGCTTGCACACCCCCAGTGACAGGGAGCTCATCACCTTCCCAGCCCTCATCCACTTGGCCCAGAGATTCCAGGTCAGCTCTGGCTGTGATGGAGGGGGCTAAGCTGGCACTTCTCACTTGGGGCACCTTCTCAGGAGGGGGCGTTCAGGGCCTGGGCTGTACAGTTCACATCCCCTAGACATTTCACTTTCCCATAGCCCCACTGAACATGCTTCAGTCCACACCACAGACAAGGAAGTTGGCACTGAGGGAGGAAATGAGCTTGTCCTGTCACCCAGCAAGTCTGCCAAGACCAGAGCCCAGTCTCATATTCAAAGACCAGTGCTCTCTGCCGGGGCCCCAGGATGGGGGTGGGGAGGAGCGAGGTCTATGGGAGGGGCCACCCACAGCACTGCAGTCTCAGATCGGACAGTGGGGAGAACTTGGAGGAAGCCCAGGGACAGGCAGCAGGAAGACTGTGACTTCTCTCCCTTTGGGGGGATTTCTGAGCTGCTCCAGGAGAAAGGCAAAGCAGCAGGGATAGGGTGAGGAGGAGGAAAGGAGACCCGGGTCACCTTAGGCAGGAAAATGACACCCAGAGCTCAGTGCCTCCAGCTCAGGTTGAACAGCCCAGCTAACCACATGACTCCCAGGCCCCTTCCCTGCACTGGTCCCCACCCACGGTCTCCCCCCGGCCAGCTACCCACTGCACACATCCCCTCCAGCCTTGGTGGCTTGGTTCCAGCTGTCCACCTCCCCCACCCCTGCAGACAGAGCAGCAAGATTAGCAGGATTAGGGGCTGGGAGGGGCAGAGCCCAGTGGGACAGGGAACAGGAACGCAGCCTCAGCAGGAGAAACTGCCCAGCCGTACACAGTGTACCCTGCACCACTCGGTGCTCCCAGGGGAGGGGCTCGCTGGGATGACCCCGGGCAAGGCGAGACTCACCTGACATATTTGTGCGTGGCGGGCTTGGCACTGTGTATGGTGGCAATGCCCGACGACAGGTATCGGTCCCTGCGCCGCTCAATGCGCCGGACATTCACAAAGTCCCTGGGGGAGGGAGGGTTAGATGGAGGGCGCTGGGCCCAGGATCCACGTGCAGGAGGCCTGAGAGGAGGGTGCTTGGCGGGTGCTCACCTTGGGGAGACCACACCACCCGCAGCCCCTGCAGACACGTCGTAGGAGATGAGGGTGTTGTCTTCTACTCGCTGTAGGATCTGAGGGCCGTCAGGGGAGATGTGAGGTGCAGCCCAGGCCAGGGAAGACCCAGGGGCAGGAACACCCCAGGCCAGCCTCCTCCCTGCCCAGGCTGTACTAGAAGCTGTCGCTATTCACAGCCCCTGGGCCGCTGCTCTGTGCACACTCCTCCCAGCAGCCCTCCTGGCCTCTCCAGGAGGTGCTGTCACCATCATCCTCGTCTTACAGATGGGGAAGCTGAGGCACAGAGTGGTTAGGTGACACGGCCCATGTCCCCTGTGGCCTGTGCCCTGGCCCATGTCATGAGAGGTGGCCAGGCCGGGCCCCCTGGCTGGGCTCACCTGGCAGGCGGTCACCGTCTTGTTCCATAGCACCATCCTCTCGGGCTGCAGCATCACCTCCTGGTACACCAGCTCCGCGGGGCAGGGCAGGAAGGCCTGGGGCAGGGAGGCCAGATGTGCTTGGGCACCCCAGTCCTTCCCTCTTGGTGGGGGGGACCTCCCAGAGGGCCCCTCGGCCCCTTCCTGGAGCCCCAGACAGAGCAGGAGGCTCCAGGATACGCGCTTCCCGCACTCACCTTGAGGATGAACGTCTTGCCGTGAAAGGGAACCTCAATGGTGTACACTGTGTCCCCGTATTCCTGTGGCAGGGACAGAAGGGTAGCAGGGAGGAGGGTGGAGAGC